GACTAAGGTCGAGTAGATGACTCCAACAACTTCAACAGCAGTGCCTTTTCCAACGTTCTATTTCCAAAGTTGCGCGTGCAACGTGGAGAGGGGGGGGGGGGGAAGTTGGGGAACAATAAACACGGAATAGAAGCTCGGTAAATGTATATGGTTTTATGATCTATACATACAAGACATCTTTCCTATCTTTCGCTCATACAGTTTCTTTTTTTCTTTTTTTTTTTTTACAGTTTCTAATACTTTCTATTCCTTGCTCAGCGTTCCCCTACCCACCCGCCCCCACAGTCCCCTTTACCGCGCCTCTTGAAAAAGGAACAGAATTTAAAGGAGAAGAGGAGCAAAAGAAAAAGGGAAAACGAGTCGCTTCTGTTGACCTCCGAGGGATCTACTTTTTCACCTTCGTCGCGATCGGTTTCCAACTTTCGAATGATCAGTGGGCCTCGCTGAAGCAGTCAGCAACGTTTAATGTGAAAAAGACAAAGTTTAATGTGAAAAAGACAAAGTTTAATGTGAAAAAGACAAATTTAAAGCTATGGCGGGGCCAGGCGGGTGTAACTTTCCGTGTTCAAGACTTCAAGAGGAAGATAAAAATGTTTCATTCTGGAGGATCTGCACATTTGGTGAGCAGTGCCGCAAGGCCCATTCGGCCATTGTGTCTTGATAGACATCACTGTTTCCGTCTTCGCTTTTGAATGCCAGTGCATTTTATCTCCTAGCTGCCTTACACGGTTGCCGACCCGCCTCTCTCTCTCTCTCTCTCTCTCTCTCTCTCTCTCTCTCTCTCTCTCTCTCTCTCTCTCTCTCTCTCTCTCTGTGTCTCTCTCTCTCTCTCTGTGCCCCCGGAGAATTAGAATTTTGGCGCCGCAAATGGCGCGATATCTGCATTGGGAGATGCGGCTTCAATTTGGACGAGCACACATGACAAAATACGCTGCCGTATCCATTTTCCAACTGATCGGATTCGAAAGTTCCGTGCAGTCCTTTCAATTTCGACGAAGGCAAAGCAGTGATCGGACGTGTGTTTTTCAGAAGTACATCAAATCCATTGTGGCTTGTAATTGCATCTCTTTTCCTTCTCCAGCGTGGCGCCGTGGCCTTCACACCTACCATGTTTCTCCCCCCTCCCCCCTCCTCCCTCCCCCTGGATCGCCGGTAGAAAAAGGGCCTGGATCGCTGGTAGAAAAAGACAGGTTTGCTGCTGTTGAATTCCACCTGGAAATAGTAACAATGTACGTTGCCGCATACTGATTACAGATGCACTGATTCTTTCTTCGTTTTGTGTGCCGTCTCCTACGGCTTCTAGCGAGGCACTTCGATACAAGTCAGTCCATCCAGAGAACGAGTTGAGGTTCTTCGCCCCCTCCCTTTTAGATCGTCCAACTCCCCACCACTCAACCCAGGCCCAAACCCCACCATCACCTCCCCCCCCCCCCCCCCCCCCCCCCCCCCCTTTTTTTTTTTTTTTTTTTAAAGGTCAGTTTTTCATGGAGAGGCTTCTGGTTATGGTAACTGCTACTCCTCTCTTGAAGTCCCTCCTCCTTTTTTCTTTGTCTTCTCTCTAACAAAAGTGCCGTCGACTCCATTTGCCAAACTGGAAGTGGAGCCGCGATGGGATGGACACATTTTCCCCTGATAGACTCTAGCGATTTTTTTTCCTCCCGATCGGATCGGATCGGATCGGATCGGATCGGATTCGGATTCAAATCCGAGTCAGGTCATTCTAATTGTAACCGGAGCTGGAAATGGTCTCGGTACATTCAAATTTCAAAATGCTGGATGAGTCCGAAATTCAATGAACATGGTCCATGCCGTTGTTCAGAATGTTCTGTAGTGGAGCGAGGCCCCATAGCCGGAAATTCTTCGCCGGATACAAGGTTAAAGAAATGTACAGCAGATACCAAAGGGAGAAAAAAATCAAGAAAAGAACAAAAGAGGAAATAAAAGTAGCACGAGAGGAGGATATTTGAACGGTTGAGCGGTTTTTAAACCTGCAATGTAGTTTCCAAGCAGTCATAAAAAAACTGCGCAAAACCAGCAGGAAGGTTGGTGAGAGAGAGAGAGAGAGAGAGAGAGAGAGAGAGAGAGAGAGAGAGAGAGGACTGCGCCGCTTTACAGATTGCTTTGCACAAGAAGATGGTATTGAAATTTGAACCTCGAATGCGATTTCCATGTTGGATTGTGGTCTCCGAACTGGAAGAGAATGGAAAAGAGCTATGGCCAGGAGGAAAGCATGAAAAAAAAGAGACACGGACTTCTCCACTTTACGGACCGTTTTTTTGGGGTGGGAACGATCACACCATCTCTGCAGACGTATAGCTATGGCCATGGATTCTCCTTCTCCTTCATCCCCTCGTAGTGGTAGTCGGGCCAGTTACCCCTCTCTCTCTCTCTCTCTCTCTCTCTCTCTCTCTCTCTCTCTCTCTCTCTCTCTCTCTCTCTCTCTCT